CCTCCCAAAGTGCTAGGGATTACAGCCTGGCATACATATAATTTTATTTAGATTCCTTCCATCCAGCAATTTACTTTTCCTATAATTAATTATAGTATACTATTTCCTGGGGGCTCATTATTCATTGGCATATTAAAATTTATTGCATTTAACCTTGTGGGGCTTAAGGAATAAGGGAATAAATAGTATAAGAAGAGAAAATTACTGAGTACACAAAATATGGATATGAGGGTAAGGAACTAGATATTGGATTAGGGATATACATATCAACTTACTTAGGGTTAACTAATGCACCCTTTCTGAGAATAGTTAACTTTTAGACCTGAATAATGAAAAGGGGCTGGCATACAAAGAGCGCATTTGTAAGAGATGAAACATCCTGTGGGTAGCTCTAAATGATAGGAAATGTGTTTTGATCTAGGAGGTGAATAAAGATTAGTACAAAGGGGACAATGAATTAAAATGAGGTCTTACAATCAGCATGTTGTTATCCACGGTAAAATGTTTGGATTTTATGACAGGGGAAAAAAAATCAGGAAATTGTCAGTATATATGGATTATTAAATTTTGATCTACATTAGCATTATCTCTACCAGATACTAATGACCAGTTCTACATCTGTAGATTTTGACTCTTATCTGGATTGGTTCCTGAACATTAATGCTCATCAACAAGCTTATCAGGTGATGATCCACACTGAAATTTAAGATCCACTGACTTAATCTATTTCCCTTATCACAAAGCTCACAATCTTACGTTATGCTGTTATCATTTCCTGAGCGCTTTATCTTTTTCCAAATTTCATAACAGTATTTTATACAGTTTACTCATTGTGAATTATTTTCAGTTTGTCTTCTTTGCTTTCTATGACTGTTTTATTTTTGTGACACAGGAAAAAAATTTTTTCCCTTCTTTCAGATTTGGAGTCCAGGTGTGAGGCAAAGAGTTTATCTGGAGGAAAGGACATTATTGAAAACAATGGTTCTCAGTGGGAGTTAATGGAAAGTAGCAAGTTCTTTGGCCTTCAAAGCTCCATTTGCAGAAATAATGGGCAGAGCAAAGACAAGATTGAAGTACAAGGACCTCAAGTGGGATATTTCAGTGAAATGAAAATCACTTCCAAAAAAGTGCCCAATTGCAACAATCATGAATCTCTTAAATTACCTCAGAGAACTCATGGCAGTGAGAAGCCCTATGAATATAAGGAATATGAGAAAGTCTTCATTTGTGACTCTAACTTTGATGAATATCAGCGAATACATGCTGGTGAGAAAGCCTATGAATATAATGAATGTTGGAAAACCTTCGGGATAGATAACTCACATACGCTACAACTCGATATTCATACTGGTGTGAAACCGTGTAAATATATGGAATATGGGAATACATTTACTTTTTATAAAGACCTTAGTATACACCAGAAAATTCATGATGAGAAGTTCTATAAATGTAAGGAATATGGAAGAACCTTTGGAATAATTGGAAAAGTTACTCCACTTCAAAGAAACGATGGTGAGAAGCCCTATGAATGCACATACTGTAGGAAATCCTTTAGAGTGCATGCACAACTTACTCGACATCAGAAAATCCATACTGATGAGAAATCCTACAAATGTATAGAATGTGGCAAGGACTTTAGATTTCATTCACAGCTCACTGAACATCAGAGAATACATACTGGTGAGAAACCCTACAAATGCATACACTGTGAGAAGGGTTTTAGAATTAGTTCACAGCTCACTGAACATCAGCGAATTCATACAGGGGAGAAACCTTATGCATGTAAGGAATGTGGGAAGGCTTTTGGAGTCTGTAGAGAACTTGCTCGACATCAGAGAATTCACACTGGGAAGAAACCCTATGAATGCAAAGCATGTGGAAAGGTCTTTAGAAATAGTTCATCCCTGACTAGACATCAGAGAATTCACACTGGTGAGAAACCCTATAAATGTAAAGAATGTGAGAAAGCATTTGGAGTAGGTAGTGAACTTACTCGACATCAGAGAATTCACAGTGGTCAGAAACCTTATGAATGTAAGGAGTGTGGAAAGTTCTTTAGACTTAGTTCAGCCCTTATTCAACATCAGAGAATTCACAGTGGTGAGAAACCTTATGACTGTAAGGTGTGTGGGAAGGCCTTTAGACACAGTTCAGCCCTTACTGAACATCAGAGAATTCATACTGGAGAAAAACCTTATGAATGCAAGGCATGTGGGAAGGCCTTTAGACATAGTTCATCCTTTACTAAACATCAGAAAATTCATAATGGTGAGACACCCTATGAATGTAAGGATTGTGGGAATGCCTTAAGTGTGGCTGGGCACCTTACTTGACATCAGAAGATTTATACTGGTGAGAAAAAAGTTATTTGAGTGAAATAAATGTGTAAAGGTTTTTGTTTCTGGTTTTCATTGGGAATACCAGTGGATTTAACAGGTAATCAAGGGGATTCAATATAACCCTCTTTTAAAATATGTTTTTGGATTACGTGGCCATTCTGTATTTAAAAGCTGAATTGTTCAGTCTTAGGGGTATACACTTACAATTTTATTAAATATTGCCAAATATGTCTCCTTTTTAAATCAATTAATATTCTTTATTATCTGTGGACATAGGATGGACCCCATTAGTCTGTTTCTGAAATGTTTGGAACTTGTTTCTGTAATTATGAGTGATTTGAGTTATTTTCATATAAGTTTATTATCCAGGCATATTTTGTTTACAACTTTTGGCGTTTGTGTTTTTTCTCTTTTGACTTTTTTTTTTTTGGCATTCTACTTGTTTCCTTCTTATATGTGAGGTACTTATCTTCATTCAGAGAGTTAGACTCGCCAATTAGTTACAGTGGGGTTTTTAGTCTTATATCCTACACTGTGTTTGTATAGTTTCCTTGTTTTGTTTTCTGCTGTTTTTGTTTTAATGATAGATGTGTAATGTCCTTTCCATTTTCATCAAATGATTTACTTCTCTTTAAATTTCTATTTTGTTTTGACACAACAGATTACCCTAAATATTTAACATGTATAATACCAATTCTTTTAAGGAGCCTTTTCACCTCCAGGCAGTGCCAGCCAGTATCCAAAGGAAAGGAACACTTTTAAATATTTGGTAAAGATTACTAACCTAATCAGCGAGTCTCCTAAATTTGTTAAGGGCATTTAAAAGGAGAGAAGTCTACAACTATTGCAGTGATTATAAACTGATCACTGAATTTACCTTAAGAGGATTTACTTTTATTTAATATATTTTTCCTTTTTTTTGTTTTTAGTCAGTCAAATTTAGCAGGGGGGGGTTGACATTAAGAGGATTTACAACTCTACATTACCATGGCCTCAATTTTTTTAATCTGTTATGATTATAATTTTTTTTTCCCTCTCAGATTTACCTTACTAGGTTTGGGCAGTTAAATCAACAATTAGTAGACCTTTTATCATAGTCTCACCTAACTACAAAATCATCTCTTTCTTAGGACAGCTGACCTG